GGCCGACCAACTCCGATCCGAATTCGAACAGGATATCCAGACTATAATAGTGTTGTGTCACGAAATGAAAATTGTGATGGAGTTCCAAGCATACAATATTTTTGTGAGCGAACAAGCGACCGCCGAATCCCAAAAAGATATTCGTGACACCGAGGAAGAAATTACCGCATTTTGCGATAGAATTATTGATGCCTCCACCACTACTATGAGTCAGAATTCGAAATCTATGGACGTGATCAAAACGTATGCACTAGGAATTAAAAACGAAGAAATGTAAAGCTCTTCGCTACATCCGGGAGGTATTCGTCTAAGAGCTTCGCATTTCGTAACAAAAGCTGAATATAAGCATCTGAATTTACAAATTTCAATTGGGTGACGGGAAAACCCTGATAATCTGTAAACGATCAACTAAATAAAGAATCTGATTTTCTAGTTCTTTATGAAACATTTTGATTTTGATTAATTTTTGTGAACTTGCAAAATAGGTAGCATTTTCCCGCACTGGATAAACATGGGTAAAAATCAGTTATAAAGACTAGATATATAACCGATTACAGATCATAGATTTAAGTAGATCCGTTTTTAATTTAAGTATGTGATTTAAGTAGATCCGTTTTTAAAAGTAGATCCGTTTTTAATTGTTTCATTACCTATTCGCAGGGGCGGATCTAGGATTTTCTCGAGGGGGGGGGGCGGATTTTCAAAAAAGTTTCGAAAATTTTGACGACCTTCTTTTTTTAGGTCGATTTTTGACAAAAAAACACGTTTTTTTTTGCGCGCGCTCCCCCTCAAAATTAGTATATATTGGCGCCGAAGGCGCCTTTAGAAAAATTTTAGGGTCGATCGGCCAAATATGGATTTCTTAAAAAGTACCAAAGGGGGGACCCTTTGGATTGGCAGGGGTTCGAATCCCTGAGGGGGGGGGGGGAGGGGAAGACGTTTGCCGCCCCCCCCCCCCTAAATCCGCCCCTGCCTATTCGTTTATAAATTCTTATTGATCTATATATATTAATATCAAAAATGTATATATATACATATATGTATATATATATATATATATATATATATATATATATATATATATATATATATCTTAATATAAAATATGTATATGTATAAAAATCTTCCCGGGATGACCAAAAATACTTTCATACAATTTCCATATATGGAAAAATGCTAGTCATACACTTTCCATACAATTCCATAGGTACAGAAAATTGCATGAAAGGTCTATGATTAGTTTTTTTCATATATGGAAATTGTATGACTAGCATTTTTCCATAAACCAAAAATATTGATTTTTTACATTTTAATTTCTCAAAATTTTTTGCCTGTGTTCGTAACCGAACACAAATGACATAAAACTTGATTACTCAAACGTAGTAACCAACGGTTTGGTCGTCTCGCATTAAAAATGCATTTGAAACAGCCTGATAAATGTTACTTCCGTTTCAGACAAATAATATAACGAAAGTAATGAACTTTTAAATTTTGGCAATAATTTTCAAAGATGATTATTTCCAAAATTTAAATTTTTAAATTACCAGACATTGATCAAGGCATACAAAAACATGCCATACAAAATAGAGAGGAGTTTTAAGCGTTTTTGAAAAAAGCAATGAAGAGAAAAGGAAAAAAAATCCAATATTAGTATATCCAGGACTACGTTATACAAAAAACACAAAAAATTTTTGGGGGCAATTTCAAAAATACTTGTCGTCGCCATCAAAAAAATGCTAGTCATGCAATTTCCATATATGGAAATTGTATGACTAGTGTTTTTTTTTCAGAAAACAAAAATTAAAAAAAGTCAAAGTTTTCAGTCGTAGCAGCTAAAAAAACGCTTAAATGTTTTGCCAGCAGTTGAATTGATTGTTCAAAGCTTTTTTCACAAAAAAAAATTTTTTAAAAAAATTCTAATCATACAATTTCCATATATGGAAATTGTATGGTTAGCATTTTTTTCATACCATTTTTTTCCCTTTTCTTATGAAGAGATACCAATTTCGATACCAAAACAATTATAAAATACCTTTGAAATTCGATTAAACTCATTTTGCAAAAATGTATGAAATTTGTATGACTAGCATTTTTCCATAGACTAAGTGTATGAAATTGTATGATTAGCATTTTCGGTCTATGGAGGTCAACCCGGGTTAATATAAAATATGTATATATAAAGTGGGGGGACGCTTCCCCCCCCCATCAGGGATTCGACCCTCTGCTGACACAAAAATTCCCCTTTAGTATTCTTTTTTTGGCTGACTGACCGTAAAGTTTCTCTACAGGCTTATTAGGCGGCGCCAATATATACTAATTTTGCAGGAGAGCGCGACGAATAAATGTTATTTTTGGTCGAAATTGTCCGAAAAGTGCCTAGAACGCCTTTTAGCCGGTTTTTCTAAAAACTTACTGGAAATAAGGAAAACTCGGAAAATCGATAGGATCAAGTTGAACAAAAATTCAAATTTTTTTGGAAATCCTTTCCACCCAGTGAAAAATCTGGATCCACAACATATATTTGCAAATTTTTTAACTTTCGTTCGAGTTACGGCTGAAAAGGCTTAAGAATGATAAATCACTCAACATTTTCTGATAAGGTATGTGGTACCTAATATAGACAGCTTCCCTAAGTGTTGCGTATTGCGTAAGATTTTCAAAAAAATTGTCGCGCATGTCGAGTTTTTTAATAAGATACGGTCGACTTTTGGAAACAGAACATTATTACGAATAAAATCGATAGGATCAAATCATTCAAATCGATAGGATATATGTCTGGATCCACAACATATATTTGCAAATTTTTTAACTTTCGTTCGAGTTACGGCTGAAAAGGCTTAAGAATGATAAATCACTCAACATTTTCTGATAAGGTATGTGGTACCTAATATAGACAGCTTCCCTAAGTGTTGCGTATTGCGTAAGATTTTCAAAAAAATTGTCGCGCATGTCGAGTTTTTTAATAAGATACGGTCGACTTTTGGAAACAGAACATTATTACGTAAAAAATTTGTGGAATAGGCTTGACTCCTATCACCAATTTAGTTTCCAGATAAGAATCAGCTGAAGGTTCAACTGGCCAACACTATAACTTGGTTTATCTGGCATATCAGGTTATCTGGCGCTCACTAGAAAGAGAACAACCCACTGAACACAGATGAGCCATGTAGAAAAAATTGTTGTAAAACATAATTAGAAGCTATTAAAATCAGAGCTAGCATCAACAATTGGTTATATTAATCAGTATTTTTGTCATAATTATCAGTTTAAATTGATGTTTCACCCATGAGATGTCAATGTGGTAAACTCTCTAATGTACATGTGCATGAGGGTCTCAAAACGAAATAACACTTTTTCTGTGGATTTTTGCTGTATAAAATTGGTCATTATATTTCTTTACTATGTCGACTTTCCGTAATGAAATGAATCATGGACCAATTATAATCCATTTAAAAATCGTAAAGCTGTTTTCAAATTAAGATTAGGACTATTTATCCACGGGGTAATGGACCAACACAAGAGTTGTTTAGCTCATCACGGCGAACCGCTGTTGTGCCCCTGTTAAAGAACTACATGCAAATTTTTTTTGGTTATTTTTCTGGGCTGGGTAATGTTGCTTCGCCCTCAAGCAACGAGCACAGATCATGGTGGGCCTCGAACATCCGACCTTTCGATTGAGAGGCGGAGACGTAACCACTTCACCACCGCTACCTAATTCAACTTATACTTCAAGTGAGTTGAATAGACAACTTGCGATTTGTTGCGAAAACATTCTGATTGTACCGCCTGCTCGAAATCTACTTCTACTTTGAATATTTTTATCACCTAAATTTTTCCGTCCATCTGAAAAATACCGGTTTTTGAAGGTAATCTTGGGGGCCGACCTTTTACCAGACCGACCTTTTACCAGAGAAGTTATAAGATGGACTTTTTTTTTACCAGACTCGATAAACAAATTTGATTGATAAATGTTAAAGACAATCCTTTCACGGTTTCTCAGCACGGTTTTGTTTGTTCTATCCGCTTCCTTTTTTAATTTGCCACTCATTGTTCCGACTTTCGTAACAAAAGTAACGAGGTATTTGTGATCGGTGTGGGTTTTTTTTCTTCAGAGATTTTTCTACTTTTTAACTAACCATTTATGACAGAAATGTTTTACATCATTCGAAAGGTATTGTTGTCTTGAGCTCAAATATGAAAAGATATTTTACCTGTGATCATTTTTCGTAAAGTTATGGGGTTTGAAGATTTTGGCCAATTGGGGACAATTAACGCGCGCTATATTTTGCACTATTAATGCGTGAGCGGAGATTTAATCCGTCTTCGAAATCGTTCCAAATTGATTGAAAGAAATCTAAATTCCATAGTTGATTTGTTACAAGAAGCGAAATCTATTTTTGAAAGAACCATATTTGCCATAGTTGATTTGTTACAAGGATCGAAATCTAATCTGAGAAAAAAAATTCATTTTATTTTTTTGTTACTGCTGCTCCATAAACCTTAAAAAGCAGTCTGAACGTTCAGGGCTTCGCCCTGATACTAGCGGTCTTGTTTAATTTTAAGTTAACTGCTTTATTGCATTGTGGTTTGGTAAAAGGTTGGTCTGGTAAAAAGACTACTTAACTCACTTCTTTGCATAACTTTTTTGCATAACTTAATTGTTCTTGATAATCGAGATGTCTGATTAGTTTTCTAATCAGACAAAAAAAGATATCAAAATGAAGCTTATCTCACAATGATCTCGCAATTTTCACTATCAATTAGTGAATTGGAACTTTACTTGCTCGTTGTTTTTTGAAAATTGCGTCAGGTTTTAGAGGTAGATGTAGTAGTGAGTTTACTTTTCCAACATCAAAATGTAGCGTAAGCCATTGGGTATTTAAGTAGTAGTTCTGCTATTTGTTCAAATTCTTGTTGTGTAACTTGAGAGCGTTGAAATTTAAACATTCTAAGATAATTCTGTCGTTCAGTGGTCTATTTTGATATTTGAAATGATAAGGTGTTTTTATAAAGTAGTCTGTTTTTCGATTTGAACAACTAGTTATATTATTAATAGATATTCTTCCTTGAGTATTGTTGGTTGACATATATCTAATAATTTCAAGATAATATTTTTTCTATATGCTGTTTCTAATGTGGGAGAAATTGTTGCATTGGTTTGACAATATCCTAAAAGTCCTAGAGGTAACGTTATTTTATTTGGGGAGTTATTGTATACTTGCAAATATATATATATATATATATATATATATATATATATATATATATATATATGAATTTGTATTTTTTGCGTATTTGACTGATAAGGCTGTTACTCGAAAAAATTTTATGAATTGGTTTGAATTCAAGGTCGGACATATATAGTTGTTGTTTGTTTTGTTCTATGTTGTATTGAACGACTTGACTTATTGAGAAGTTATCTGCATATCCTGCTAATGGTTTCAGCTGTTTTCGTTCTTGGTTGTATATGGAGTAAAATTTGGAGAACACTGGAGGTTTTCCATTTAATAATTGAAAGAATGTGAGTGATGTGTTTTCATTCTTGTGTATTTATCTTTTATATGTAATTTGCGATTAAGGATATTCATTGTGGGGTTATATTTAGTATAAATTGGTATTTCAATGATATTGAAATGTTTCTGTAAAAAATTTGTTTAAAAGTTTATTTTGTTCCATTTTTCAAGTGGGAACGAGAAGTAATTGAAATTTTCCAAAGTTTGTTACACTTGATCCTTGTGCTGTAGCTAATCTGCTTGAAGTCTTTGAAGGTAACAATTTTGGATGTAAAACTTGTTTTAAGTTTCAAGTGAGAATAATTACAATATTTATTTCTGCTCCTGTGTCTATTAAAAATTCATTTTCGAGGTCTGGTGATTGAAAATCTTTTTGATTTTCTAAGAGAAGTGGGATTTGTCCAAATTTTTTCCTTAGGTGGTTGTTATTTACATGCTGTATTTTGGTAATATTGTTCATACTTGAACTTTCTTTAAGTTCTTGTTCGGCGTAGTCTGTTATGTTTTGTGTATTATCTGATTTTTGAAAATTAATAAGTTTTTGATTGGTTTGATAATAATTCGACTCAGTTGGTGTTTCGTATTCATTTTCAATCTGAAGAAGTTATTTCTGTTTCGCTTTCATCATATGTGGATTCACAATTTATGTGATTTTGTTTTAGTTCTGAATTTTCTGTGTTATCAATACCGGGAGGGTCTGTTTCAGTTTCTTCAGTTGATTGTACCTGGTTGATTTGTCTTTGATGTTTAGTTGTACTACTTCTGAAGTTGTGTTTTTGTAAATAATTTGGTAATGGAATTTCATTTTGTATTTGAGTTGGTTGATAACTTTGTGCATTTATTGGATATTGTGATTTAAAAAATTTATTATATGATGCTGAGTTTTGTCTTGTTTGTCGTGTTTGTTCATTTCGTGTATATGGTTCAAAAACATTTGGTTGATAAATAGGATCTGGAGGATCAATATTCCAATAATTGTTTTAATGATTTATGTTAAATCATTATTGATTTTGGCTATAAGAATCTTTACCTTCTGAATTATGTGGTTGATTCCTTGTAAGATGTTTTTTGGTCTTGTTTCTATATTTTTGGAAGAACGGGTAGTTTTCGCTACGATCCAATGTAGCTCGTGGTTGGTCGTTGAAAAATACTGAGTGAGAGGCTTGTTGTTGTACATTTTGATTGTATTATTGTGCCTGTGATTGATTTTAACTGTTCATATAGTGGGGTTTTGGTATTTGTTTTTGCAAAAAAAGTTGTAGTTATGATCTGAAAAGTTGTTTCTATTGAACGTTTTTAGAGATTTCATTACCAATTAAGTTTTCACAGATGGTATCTAAAGTTTTGAGAAAAGATAGATTTCATGTCCTGCAGTTGAGTGTCGGGATGTTTGAGGCGGTGACTCATTTTTTGTTTTTTTTTTTCAATTCTAATATAGATAGATAGCTATAAATTATTGAAAAAACATAAATCGTGAATTTTGAATTTGCCCTTCGTGATTTTTGGTGTTGTTTATTTTTTATTTAGTCTGTGAAATTTTTCGAGATTTCTAAAACAAAATCATCCGTTTGTGTTTGTTGTGTAGGGTGATCTGGTTGTGGTGATAAAACTTAAATTGTAAAAATACGGTAATTTGATGTAAAATTACATATATCGTTGAGATAGTGGTCTAGGATTTGTCGTTTTATTCTTACTTCAGGAAGTTTTTGTTTACATGGGCTAGTTCCTTTTTCAAATAAATTTACAATTAGGTTGTGACAAAATTGTACTTGTGCTCGGGCTTCATCACTTTGTGGTTTTATGAAAAATTAAAATATCAAGTAATCATCAAAATTTTTGTTATATTTGATCATTTTTTAAGTTTTAGAACTGTTAATGTGTAACATTCAATATGTCTTATTGGTTGATTCCAATTATAAAGACGCATTGGTTTGTTAAGGTACGACTGTTTTATTCTGCGTTTTCTTTTAATTGATGATGGTGTTGTAGTTTCTGAGTCAGAAAAATATCATTGGTCTTCTATCGGGTCATTTTCATTTGTTGAATCTTTAAAATCTTGAAGTTCCTTTATTGTGTTATTGTGTTTGTTTCTGATTCTGAGACTGCGTTTCCTCTTTTTGAAAATCTTCTTTTGATGATTTGCTACTGTTTTGTTAAAAATATTTCTTTTCGTGTTTGTCTTTTTGACCTAATATATCCTTTTGTTTATCTGTGTCAGGTGATTACCAGATCGTATTTTTATAAAAACAATTATGCTATATGATTATCTGTTTACTGCCTAGATTATCTCTTGACATAAGATTTAGGATGACAGAGGCAATACTTGGGTGTTAGAGTTTTCGTTTTCCTGAACTGTTAGTTTTTACGGTTTCTGTGCGGTTATCTTAACTTGGGGCACAGATTGTCGTGGTTGACGGGTTGGAGAGAGAGTATATCATTTCGTGAGAATAATTTTTTCTACTTTCTCGTGACTAGTTTTCAATTTATGAATGACTTCTTTAACCTTTACCTAGGGTTTGTGATTTGTGATCAAAGGTTCGAAGATAGTAAATCAATCCACAAGTTCAGGTAGAACTAGAACACAGGTAGATCGTTACATACTAATTTATGGCTTACTAAATATTTAAGGTTTTAGCCTGGGTCATCTAAGAGGAAGGGTTCAAGTCAAGGATGAGTAACCGAAGTTCTTCACTGTCTGTCTTAGATAAAATGTTTCGTTTTTTCAGAAATTTCCATTAGTCTTGTGTCGCTTATAAGGGTTGGGGATTGAATCAACGTTTGAGGTCGTTAGACACTTTTTTCTGAATTGTGGGAGGGGGAGAACAAAATTGTACTGATTTGATGCAAGGGAAGCCTTGATGATCAGTAATTAAATAAGATAACATTTGTTTAGTAAGAAATTAAAGATCCAAGGAAAACTTAGATGATCGGTTTATGAAAGAAAAGTTAATTATGGAAAAGCAAGGATAAGACTTGATAAGCTTTTATGAAAAAATTTAAGTTTAAGAAAACTGAAAAGTTAATGTTTAGATGATATTAGTTTTTTGTAATTATGCTTTTTTGTTTTGAGTGATGAAGCTGATCTGAGAAAAATCAAGTGTGTTAATTCGTGAAACTGACCATGAATTTTAATACAAACTAATTTTTGTATTTTTTTTTCAATAAAATATTTGTTCAAAAGGTTTGATTTTACTGCAGATTTTGGGGGGAAAAGACTTGTGTTCTTTTCATCAGTCGTTATTGTTTAAATAGTAGGTTTAGCACCCAATGAGTTGTTGAAGAAATATTCTTCAGATAATTTTCATGTCAATAAATGAAAATCTAAATTTGCTGCATAAAGTATTCTAAATACAAAAACTTGTTCCGGTTTCCGTCTTCTATCATGTAGTAGATTGGTCCGTTTCCTGATCGTTGTTCACGCCATGATCTTGGTGTTCTTGCAATACCAGGTATTTCTTGTATTTTTTGGAAAATTGGCGTAGATTTATTGAGACGTAGAGACACTTCTATTAAATTGTCTATTCCATCTAACATTTTTGCAATTTTCTAATTCTAGGTTTGTTTGTCTAATTCTTAGTTAGTTAAGGTCTTTTTCGAGACTTTTGGTCGCACCAGATGAGTTATGACCATTGGCCTGTACTCATAGAGTAATTTCAGATAAGGTACACCGTCTGTTCGTCACGCTATCCTATTTTCGGTCGGCTAGATTCGTGCAACTTCTTAGTCTAATACCGATCTTAATCTTACTCGTATATCTCCTAGTCTCAATAGATCTAGCGTATACTGGTATTTGCGGGTTAGGTATCTGAAACTTGTTCCAAAGGAGAACAACTGTCTTCTAAGATTTATTCAAATTGTTCTGTTACTGAAACTACAAGTAGTTTCAGCACTTACAAATAAGTGTCAATGTTAGAGATGGAATATGATTGGTTAGTTAGTATTATTTTACAGAGGTAGTTTATCAATAATATAATTGGTTTATAAATACTAGTTTAGAACTGGTCCCAAATTGACCCATTTGGGAAAGCTTTAAATGCAGCCATCAGCTAGTATTTTAGACTAAATTTGTGACTCAAAGTTGTCTGAAACATCGAAACTGCATGCAAAACTATGTTTTAAACTTAAAAAATTGCCCTTTTTTTAAAAAATGCATATCAAATTTTTTGAAATTCCCTATAGATAGATATCTAAATACACTATGCCCAAGAAAAAAGGTCAGTTTGCTTTGCTACCCCTTGCGCCGTCCTCTCCGCCTCGCGAAGCTCCTCCGCCGCCTGGCGAATCGAGAAACTTGCCTCAGATATTTTGATCTTCGAGTCGGTGGCGTCGAAAACCAGCCCAAATTGTTCCGAACTCTGATTTGAGGATTGAATGATCAAATCAGCTACAAATCCGTAAACTGCTGTTATGTTATAAGACAGTTCAATTATGTCATCAACCAAATCTATGATTTTATCGCTTTGTATCTTTTCAAGAGGACTCGTTTTGATACAATCCGGGTCATCAATATTGTTGTCGGAACTCTCATACAAACTCGGCGTAGTTATATTAGTGGTGCTATTATTCAAAATTTTGGATTCGTCAGCATCGTCGTCGTCATCGGAGTTTTCGGAAGTACGTTTTGTCCGTCGTTTTTCATTATCGTCATCATTCTTATCATCATCATCATCATCATCATCATCATCATCATCTTCATCATCATCATCATCCTCATCATCGTTATCATCGTCGTCGTTGTCGTCGTCGTCGTTGTCGTCGTCGTCGCTGTCATTTTCTACCTCATCTTCTTCTTCATCGTCTACTTCATCGTCTTCTTCATCTTCCTCTTTGCTGCCTTTTTCGTCGTCTTCTTTATTGTCGTCGTCATCATTGGTTTGGGTGTCATTGTCATCAGAACGTTCGTTATCATCCTGGTCTGCGGAAGACTCAGACAAATTTTCTTCGTCATCTTTTTCGTTATCACCGTCCATTTCGTCGTTTTTTCTAGTATTTTCTAGAACTGAATCGTGTGACCACTTTTTAACGTCACTCGATCGGTTCCGACTATTGTGAAAAATATAATCAGAAATTTCGACCATTCGGTCCGCTTCGGCTATTGCATAATCGACACCGCTCGATAAAGTTACGTAATCGATTGCCTCATCATCTACTGCGAGAAGCTCACTGAGCGAGTCGTTTGCTTCCCGAATCAAGTCAAGGGCTTGAGTCGCGATCCGTTCGGACTTTTCTTGCACGATTGATTCCGCTTGGAGAGCTTCGATTTTGATAGAGTAAATTGCACTGTTATTCAAAGATTGGCCATTTGCACTGATTACGAGAAAACAAACGACAAGGAGCACTGAAACAAAAACTTTTCAGACATTATTCGACTTTTCCTGCGGCATAACACTTTGTTATTATTTCTCTAGTTTGACTATTCTTTCAATTTTCTTGTAGCCACATGTTTGAAACTATTAAAGCAATGCGGCTAAAAGCGCACCTGAAAGATATTTGGTCCCCCCTACCACCCCCCCCCCCCCCCCCCCCGATGTTACGTAATAAAAAATAGGGAAAAATAGTTCAAGAGATTAGCCGAATTTAAAAAGTTTTTTTTGAAAGTTATTCTCATCATTTTAATAGCAGACTTTTATTTTAAAAGTTCACTTCTTGCCAATTCGAAAGATTCAGTTAGTCACTTGGAACGACCCAAGCGGTTCAGAAAGTTTTCTTATATTAACCAGGAGAAAACACCCATAAGTGGTTAAATAATTTAACACAGAGAAAGATGTAGCTGAAATAAAAATAATTGAAGCTTTTGCTACTATTATGATTTCAAAAAGCTTACCTGATGATGATATTCCTTGCATCATTAACTTTTAAAACTCAGTTTTTGCTCAAGGAAAATAATTTAATGCCGTTATTAAATTGCTAATATAGGTATCAATTTTGCGTTCTAGTTTTGAGTCAAATCTACCGTTTAAAAAGGATCAAGTCTGCCATTAGTTAACGACTCATTGATTTCGATATGTTTAAAAAGTCATTCATTCGTTTAAATGTAAAACTAATATGACAGATGTTGCTTCCAAATTGAACAAAACAAAAAAAAAACAAATTAAAAATGATTGGAAATCTTTACTGAAAATATTTTTTTTTCAGTACAGATTAACTTTGAGTAGAATGATCTGAGTTTTTTGATGGGAGGAAACAGATTTACGACACTTTTTGAAATTCTTAAGATTTGTTTTTTTTAGGTCGACCAAATTGATTACCTGAGTTCCCAAAACACAAAAAAAAATCCTATTTTGAGAATTTTTTCTGCACCGACAATTTTTTTTAAATAACAGGTCATAAACTACGTGTTTGGGCCTGCGCTCCTCAATCAAAATTGGTACATTATTGGCTTCGAGGGCGGCGTTTAGAAAAACTTTATGGTCGCTCGGTTAAAATGGACTTTGCACACAAGTACCAAAAGGCGTTGGACTCTTTGAGTAATGAGGGGGTTGCTACTGAATCTGCTACTGAACTGCCCCCCCCCCCCAAACCCGCTTTTGAAAAGTGTTATTAACTGAACAACAGTCAGCAAATCAATTAATAATGTTTTCCTCTATCGCGCTCAATTTTTGTGCTCCAGTTTAGGAATGAGAGCAACTGGAAAACCATCCAAATGCCGGACCTAGTGGCGCAGGTCTGTAATCCCCAAGCACCTGGGGAGGCTGAACAGAGTTAGCTAGGGAGCTAGAAAGAGTAAACTGGGGTTCAAATCCCAGTGAAGTCGGCCTGCAAATCTAGTTGGTTGTACCTTTAATGACCATATGAAGTTATAACCGATTAGGAGCAGTTATAAAAGAGATTAAAAACAGGTGGATGCTGATTACAAAACAGAGGTCTGTACTAGTTAGACCTGCCTTACTTAACTGCTGCGAACCAAAGGTGGACGGCTTGGATTAATTACACCATACATTACATAACTATGCACACCTGTCCGCTGCTCGATCTACAAATCCATTCACCGGTTATGTATTAGCTAGAGAAGGGATTACATAAGATTAAGTGGCAGATGGTGTGAGGGTTTAGTAGTGTATTCGATTCTCTGAAGAGCTGTTGTAATTGGGAATTCCTTCTAGAAGGTTCGCTGTGGGATTAAGTTGTGGCGCCGTGTAGTTGGTCACGCTCTCTGGCGAAGCTCTGTTTTAAGATTTTTTTCGTAAACCGAACAGGCTATTCCTGCATCCAAAGGATCATTACTCATCCAAAGGGTCGAAAAATTCAAAACTTTAGCGGTATAGGGCATGAATATGCCCAAGAAGCTTGAATAGATTGTTCAAATTACCGCTGTCAGTATCATTTTAAAATCTTCAAAGGTCACATAATTTAGTCCACAATAACATTGTCGAATTGGCGTTTTCAAATTCCTCAAAATTTTTCTAAAAAAGATTCCAGGAAAAAAGTTTTTCTTTTTTTGAACTCAAAAATTTGATACTTTTATTCAAGCATGAAAAATTTTCTTAAAAGCACAATGTTAATAGCCTTATTTGGTTTGAATGCAAAAAAAACCACCTCAATTATCTAATTTCTCTAAATTTTGCAAAAATCAAAAAAAAAACAAATTTTTTATACAAAACGCTCGTATTTCTATGCCAAGCCCTGAATGTTCTGACTGCCTTCTAAATAGATTCGAATAGTTTTTGGGTTAATTTTGAACATTGCCTAAATCTAGTCAATATGATACTTTGAGTACTAAAAATGAATTCGTACAGGTATTGGAATTTAAAAAATGGCTCACTTTGTTTCAGTTTGAAACGACTTTGAGTGAGAAATAATTTGCCAGGCATTTAAAATACGAACTCGTTGCTTTCAACATTATAGAGTTGCGCAAATCGGACACCAAGTTCTCAATCCTCGCATAAAAAACTCAAAAATATTTTCAAATAGTCAAAACTCAAACCACCAGATCTTTACCTACCAGGGACGCAACTGAAACGTTTTTATATTCAACGATTATACGTTCATCATACAAAAAATTTGCTGCTCATACTAATAGAATGCTAATCATACAATCTATGACTACCTTTTTTCCATGATCAAGAATTTCATATAGTGTTTTTTCTCTTGCCTAAAAATGTTTTGTTGGTGGTTACAAACGAACACGAATGACAAAGACCCTGAGTCACTAAGGTTTTGATTGTCGTGCATGTAATTTGAGTTTAGATTTGTTGTCTAAACATTATGATTTTTACATAACAAAGTTAGGAAAGTTTTGAACTTTTTTGAAAAAAGTATCTCAAAAAACGTAAGATAATGCATGTTTTGTGCTCTGTGAAAAGTTTTAAGCTTTTGAAAGCAAACCCTTTATGCAAAGTCAAATTTTAGAAAACCTTTCATATGAAAAAAAAATTCAAAAAACGTTTTACTTTCTTTGGGAAAATTTAAAGGTTTGCTCTGAAAGATCAAAAAAGCTAATCATTCATTTCCATACTTGAAAACTGTATGATCAGTTTTTTTGCACCGAATAAAAATTCTTTCTTGTAATAACAATGGCTAGGTCAAAGCAAGAGATTTATTTGGAAATCGATTACACCAATTTGTAAAATTGAATGAAGATTGAATAATTAGCAGTTTAAGCAAAATTATTGAATGAAATTGTATGATTGTCTTTTTAAATCTTTGGAGGCCCACTCAGGCTACCAATTCGAAATAAAATAAACCAATTGTTCTTATCGCAAAAATAAGTGAAGTGGAGAGGCTAGGCTATCTATTGCCAGCTTCAAACGATTCAATTCAAATGACACCAGAACTTTGGTTGATCGTCCTCCAAAGTTTCCCCTGGAGTGGTGTGGTATACAACAGCTCGTTGTGAGGTTTGCGGAAAATATAACACCAGGGATATAAATTTTTGTTCAAAACAGTTGAAAAATGGAAAAAAAACTTTGTATTCAGGTGTGTTTTGTATTTCTTGCACTGACAGAAATGGTTTCCGGTCGATTTAAATTGATTTTAAATCGATTTTAAATCGATCCAAATCGATTAACCATGTTCATTTTACGAACTTAAATGGATTTTAAATCGATTTAAATTGATCTTTTTGAAAATTTTAAATCGATTTAAGTGTCTAAAAAATCGATTCAAATCGATTTCGATGGATTTTCCGACTCACTAAAATCCATCCGAATCTCAACTAAATCCATCAGAGTCTCACTTAAATCCATTTTAAATCGATTTAAATCGATCTTTCTGAAAATTTTAAATCAATTTAAGTGTCTAAAAATCGATTTAAATCGACTTTGATGGATTTTCCGACACACTAAAATAGATTTTTTTTGCTAACAAGGCGAAAAAACCTGCCCTTCGAAAAATTGTTGGAAATTTATATTCTCGATTTTTAAATGTAAACACTCGTGCCAGATGTTATAGAATTCAATAAAATTATCCACATAAATCAGATTCAAGCACGAAAAAAGGCAATGAAATTATAGAAAATTGTTGTAAAATAGATTTTGCAAAATCCTATGTAACAAACAAGAAAAAGGTCAGAATAAATTAAAATTTGATCTCGTTAATATGCAATTATATCATAGAAAGACATCATAATGAATCAGATTTTGGGCAAAACTTATAAAAACGAATCAAGAAAAGGGTCCATTTAGATCAATTTTTGAACTCCAAATATGCAAGAAAAATCAAAGAATTTTATCGATATTTTGGTCTTTTTATTTGATCTTTTTTATGCTGCAATACGCTATGGATATAAAATGAAAAATGATAGGCAAAAAATAAAAGCAATCAAATTCCGAAACTGATAAATCTCAAATAAAAAAATCGATTTAAATCGATTTAAATCCGTTTTAATCCCCTTAAAATTAAAAACAAAATCAGACTGGAAAAAATGCATTTAAATCGATTTAAAACCGATTAAGATCAATTATTTTTAGCTGGGATTTAAGATCAATTTAAATCGATTCTAAATCGATCCAAATCAATATTCATCTTTTTGGTTTTATCTTCGTACTTTTTTCATACTAAAATCGATCTAAAATTAATCAACGTACTTTTTTCATACTAAAATCGATCTAAATTTAATCAACGTACTTTTTTCATACCAAAATCGATCCTCATCCATTTTTGTCAGTGCGGGTTCTTATCGCTAATTTTAGAAAACAATTCGTTCAAAAAAATTTTAGAAAACGTTTCATTCAAAAAAATTCAAAAAAGTTTTAGTGGAAGTTAGAAAACGTTTCATTCAAAAAAAATTCAAAAAACGCTTTATGTATAAATTTGCTCTAAAACTTGCAGATAATATAACTAGGAATGTAAAATAGGGATGTGCATTATTACTCATGTATTTAGTTTTGTTGTTAGTAAATATATATGGTTTGTTTATTTCAGAACCATGAAACTAACAAGACTTTTTTCAGTCTAATATATTCGATACAAAATGAATAGCCAGCTCCACCACGGGTTAAGTTAATTTATAGTCATATCTTATGTGATTTTTAAAAATCAGATTTCAATTTGTGATGTATTCGCAAAAAAAATGTTTTTTGTTTTAAGGAAAAAAAAAGATTTTCCAAAACTTAAGTTTCCGAATATCACCTAACAATAGAACGGTCAAAAGGAAAGCTCAAAATTAGATCAGATAAAATCAAATAAATCATTAGGAAACATCCAAAAGTTTTTTTTCCAATTTTTAAAATAAATAGAGCAAAAAGCCATAAATCAACTTGGCATTTTGGTGATCTTTTTTTTCTAATCTCAAGATTTATCTTAGAAGGAGAAAATTTTCACTCTATAAAAAGAAACCTACATTGCAAAAATTATGGCAATGCAGTTCCTGAGCTCAGTAAAAGTGATCAGCCACATCCGGCGTGTTACGGTTTGGAATGAACACTGATTATTGAAAAATGTTACCCTACTCACCCTCCCCCCGCATATAATGGCCTAAATCAAACACTGATCGCTACAACTAGTTGGCAGCTCTAAACCGACCTGTAATGGATCGAACTGATCAATGATTGCACAAAATTTTATTGATTGAAAGATTTTTTTTTTCAAC